CCATGCAAAATATAGTGTCCGGTGTGCATTGAAAACTACAATATATTGAACTTTTTTTTAAATGCTTCAGAAAATAACCCGAGGCTTTCAGACAACACTTCTATTGTGGATTATAGAATAGCCGTAATGTGTTTCCCAGTCTTATATTTCACCCCGACTGACACCAAGCACAAAGGCACCCGAACTCACTGGCAGTAAAATGGCGGTGGACACAAGAGCTGGGGGATTATAATTCTTCGGGACCTTGTGAAGGTCTAGGGGGAAATGGTTGTCGTGGTTTATTCATCGGGGCTCAGTTTCTGATGACTTCTTCATGAACCTGGCAGGCTGGATTTAGGGGTTTAGTACCCAGGAACTACAAATCAGTCTCAAAAGGTTTATCATCAGCCTGTGAGGTCCAAGCCACACTTACTCATGTATTGTAATCATGCCTCGTTTATTTATTTTTTTTCATATTACTGAAAGTCATTAGTGAGAACATTCCTGAGCTGCCAAACGTTTTCCTTTAAAATGAACCCGAATTATCATTGGTGCGCACTTCCAGGGTCCGTGTGGTACCTGAAGGCACCTGTGTTAGTCTTCTGATAGATCCTTGTGTCACCACTGGGCTCGGTGGATCCTAGGCCCAGGCTATGTATTCTCAACAAATCAAAATTAAAGCCCAGCTCCAGGAAATGTGAAAATGAATTGCTTGTTTACTCTAGGGGAGTAAAAGCGCTTTTACATACCCGATTCTCCGCTCCTATGGCAGACAGTGCTTCCCCATGTTCTGGCATTGAACTGTCCCTCAGTGTCCTAATGACTCTGCATTGGTCTTGATGATGGACCTTAGATTGCTGGAGTGTAGGGAAGAAGTAGGGTTGCCACCTCATCCCTTTAAAACCGAACACATATTAGTTACACAGGTTCTGTAGCTGATTAAGGTGGTAATTAAACTCATTTAGAGTCTTGTCTGCATTAAATTAACCCCAGAATCTGTGTAATTAATACGTGTTCGGTTTTAAAGGGATGAGGTGGCAACCCTAGGGAGAAGATACAGCAGGGACTGGTGTAGCAGCACGGAGGAGTGGAGGGTCCAGTTAGTAGATCTACTTTAACAATTCCCCTAGACCCAAAAAGGCAATTAACCCTTGCTGTGCAGGCTCAGGCCCACTGCAAGGGATCATGCTCAATTCTCCCGAATGATGGCTTAAAGCGCTACCACCTATACTAACCCTCTGCCATCTATCATTTAACTGTCTAAAGCTTTTACAGTCCATTGTTGGGTAGGTGCAGTGTGGTGCTGTGGTAGAAGGCACATAGAGTCCCGGATTGCAGAAAACACAGGTATTGCAAAACTTGGAAAACCGTACAATCCTCCCCACTCAATCCACCAGGACACTTACAACAGTTGAAGAGTCAGCAGTGCGTAGGCCCAGGCTGAAGACAGTGTCCCACAAGGAGAGCAGACTTTGGCCTGGCTGGTCCAACCTATAGGGGAGCTTCCTGAAGATGCAGACGTAGTCCGTATACTTTCCCTACTCCTTCAAGATCTCTGCCTGCCTCTAGTGCTGCCCCTGACCCTACACAAGACACTCGCAAAATGCATGCTAAAACCCAGGGGCAGAACTTGGGTCCAGGGGCGGACTGACCATTCGGGCATTCCGGCACTGCCCGAGGGCCCAGGGTCAGTGGGGGGCCCCATGAGATGCCCCTAGTACCTTTCATAGTCTTTTTTGGGTGTGGTTTGAGGGCCCAGGGTCAGTAGGGGGCCCCATGAGATGCCCCTAGTACCTTTCATAGGCTTTTTTGGGTGTGGTTTGAGTGTGTGTGAGGACACAGGAGCCCCATGATCCCATGTTGCCCGGGGGCCCCAATGAGTTGACTGTCCGCCTCTGCTTGGGTCACCTGGGGATTCAGCATAACCAACTGGATTGCTGCTCCAGGGGACCGAAAAAAACCATGGAAAACAGTTTCTCTTGACCTCCTCCTCCAGCTGCATTGCCGTTGCGGACAACCTGCACTGGAGACTGTAAACTGCACCTGCCTACACACTGAGGTTCTATTGAATGAAAGGGATAGGGGGATGTAGATTGTAACTCTGGATGATGCCCAGACAAAGATGGCTCCTTATTTCTCGAGACAAAACAGATGAAGACGTGTTTGAGAGGTAATAAATACCCGGAAGCATTACACTGCCACATTAGTTAGCAGACATGCATTTAACATGAAAAATGTATCTGATGCTACATCTGCTTCGGGCTAAGTTCACACTTGAGCTTCTTCAAGTGTTTTTGGAGCTTTTTTTATGTACATGTTTTTTAGGTGTTTTCAGGCTTCAGAGTTTTGTCTTAGCCTATGGACTGCTAGTTGATAGGAGAAAGAGAGGTACACAAAATTGCATAATAAATACACGTTATGTGTGTTTCTGACCTTTTTTAGGAGTTCCCTTTGATGTCTACAGGGACCAAAAACATGTGACTCTACACCAAGGCGGCTCATGTACCTTTTCAAGGTTTGAATGACAAGACGCTCACCGCTAAATGTAACAGAGATCTTGATGCTGAGCACTGAAAAGCTTCAGATTGCTCAGTGTGAACAGGACCTTCACCTAATAGATTCCTTCACCCACATGTAGCACCCTCCTAGTTAGAAAGGGGGATCTAGCAATTTTTTTTTAGTTAGATGACAGAGTAGGAGCCTGGGTAATAGTCAGAGGGTCAAATTTGGGCCAGGGCTGAGAGGCTCTGTAGATCAGCTCTCTGATATCTCCCCCTGATCTAGAGACATGGAGAAGTCTCTAGAACTCAGTGAGCAGGGGTGAGGAGGATCTGGTTTGCACTCTTAAAGGATTCTGGCCAATCCCCAAGCAGGATGTTTGGCATGGTGTCAGGACAGCTCTCAAGAGTGATAGAGCCTGCTCAGTAGCAGGGAGAGTTTGGATGGAAGATGAGGCGAGAAGGTTGGAGCGTGGAGCCTGGGTGGGGGCCCAGGAAAGGGGCCTACCTGCAGGCAGGAGCTAGAAGGGAGTATCTCTCAGCCTCAACCATTCCCTGAGAAAGGCCAACCTAAGAAGCAGGGAAGGAGCCAGCCCAGCATAAGGCCTGAAGGCAGCCACCAACCCACAAGCTTGCAGGAAAGGACTGAGTGAGTAATCCCACTGGGCCAGATAAGGGGAGAGGGCATTCCGGTGGGAAACCTGACTAGCCCCCATCTGGGACTGCTGATTTTAAAGTAGCAGCTTCTGGGTCCCCTTGCCAAAGGATTCCCTCCAGGCTGCTGGGTGAAGAGGAGGATTCATCTGGGGTCTGAGGTGGTACACCTTGAGGGCTGGAGAGCTCTTCCGACAAAGAGACTTTGCTGTCTAAAAGACTTGTACATAGTTGCTAAGGAGTTTGTCCTCCGTTCACAGTTCCCCTGGGCATCTCATACACCCCTCAATCCCATCCAAGATCAATACCCCTAATGAAATCCAAAAAAAAATCTCACATGTGCAAAGTCTAAAGAGAATGCATGTTGCCCGGCTGTGCAGGACTATAGGGGGACCCAAAACTTAGCGACTCCTAAGGCTGCAGTGCTAAACATACATGCAAGATAGATGAAGGAATCCCCAACCACACCGGAACATTGTACGCCTACAGTGAGACTCTTCAATGCAGCCTGTAGCCGCTGATCGACAAAAGTTTTCTAGCTTTTCCATTTGACATAAGTTGATCTAACAATCGATTTCTGTCAAAAGGAGTCAGCGACACTTGGATCAAAATTTTTCTGGACCCTGCTGAACCGGCCAACTTTTGATCCGTCTATGGCCAGCTTACCTCCAGGTTTTGTGTTACCCTAGTTTATTGGACCCAAAATATGTCCCGATCTCTACCTCAACCATTTACAGGAAGCCTTGTTATTTAAGGATGAATACAAAGCTTCCTTTGTTTGATAGAGGTAGAGAGGCATACAGATGAAGTTGTGGTCTCCACCTCAGCCTTGTATTCTTTGATAAAGTGAATGGTTGAGCAGTGCTCAGCCCAACTTGACTGTATTCAGGGAACTGAATGGGAAGCCTCCGTGCCATGCTGGAACACAGCGCTGATGCTACATAACGTTTATACAGCGCTGACAGTGGCCGCATTTCTTAGTAATGGAAATAGTTTGTTTGGGCCAGCTTGGCATGAACAAACTAGTTCAAGCTATAGTAAAAACTGGATTTAAGCTTTAAAATGAACCAAAGTGTTTGTAATTTATTATAGACATTTGTTTAGCACCAACTATTTTACATATTATAGATTCACCTCAGTCCTTGCATTCGAGGAGCTTACAATCTAAGATTCTCATCATCACATGCATACACAAACATACTAGGGCCAATATAGACAGAATCCCCTCCACACCGGGACATTGTACTCTGACAGAAGGACTCTTCAATGCAGCCTGTAGTCTCTGATCGACAAAAGTTTCTAGCTTGTCCATTTGACATAAGTTCATCTAACAATCGATTTCTGTCAAAAGGAGTCAGCCAGCTTGGCCCGAACAAACTAGTTGCGATCTCCACCTCAGCCCTGTATTCTTTGATAAAGTGAATGGTTGAGCAGTGCTCAGCCCAACTTGACTGTATTCAGGGAACTGGATGGGAAGTCCCCGTACCATTGCTGGAACACAACGCTGATGCTACATAACGTTTATACAGCACTGACAGTGGGTGCATTTCTTAGTAATGGAAATAGTTTGTTTGGGCCAGCTTGGCCCGAACAAACTAGTTCAAGCCATAGTAATACTGGAGTTATGCTTGAAAATGAACCAAAGTGTCTGTAATTTATTATAGACATTTGTATGGCACCAACCAGGGGCGGACTGACAACTCATGGGGCCCCCGGGCAATAGGGGATCATGGGGCCCCTGAGTCCTTGCGCAAACTCAAAAAAGCCTATGAAAAAGGTACCAGGGGCATCTCATGGGGCCCCCTACTGACCCCGGGCCCTTGGGCAGTGCCCGAGTTTCCAAATGGTCAGTCCGCCCCTGGCACCAACTATTTTACATTGCATTCGAGGAGCTTACAATCTAAGGTTCTTATCATCACATGCATACACAAACATACTAGGGCCAATATAGACAGAAGCCAGTTAACCTACCAGAATGTCTTAGGAGAGTGGGAGGAAGCCCGTGAAAGCATAGGAAGGACATACAAACTCCATGCAGACCATGTCCTGGCTGGGATTAAAACCAAGTACCCCAGTGCTGCAAGGCAGAAGTGCTATCCACTAAGCCACTGTGCCGTAACTAAATGAAACTGAATCAGAGAGGGGCACAGAAGTGATAATTACGATAATCAGAGGCATCTGGTCATGTCTGCTCTGAGTAGAATTTTTTAATGTCAATATTGAGAAGAATTAATTTTCATGCTTACCGACAATATGCTATTCACATCATTCATCTAAAATAAACCTATAAAAAGCTATCATTCCCCTTCAGACCCACATGGAAGTATTTGAACTATATTTTAAACATATTTCCCCAAATATATATATATTATATAAAGTCATATTGCTGGAACACAACGCTAGTATATATATATATATATATATATATATATATATATATATATATATATACTAGAGATGAGCGAATCGAACCAGGCGAACCGGAATTCGATACGAATTTCAGGAAAAATTCGATTCGCGTCGAATCCGAATATTTGCCTACTTCGGGTGCGCGAATCGGATTTTTCCCGATCAGCCGGCAAAAGTGTCCCTGCAGAGAGCTCCGCTATTTCTGACATTTCTCTGACAGTTCCTTCACATGTACAGCGGTTGAAACATTGTATCTATTAGTTTCCATTTAGGATACAGATGTTTCAACCGCTGTACATGTGAAGAAGCTGTCAGAGAACTGTCAGAAATAGAGGAACTCTGCACATACACTTTTTGCCGGTTTTTCTTATTTTCATCTACTTCTTCTTCTTCTTCTTCATCCTCATCCTCAGAAGAAGAAGAATGAGGATGAGGAAGATGAAGAAGAAGAAGTAGGATGAAAATAAGAATAATTCCAAGCCGGCAAAAAGTGTATCTGCAGAGCTCCTCTATTCTGCAGATACACTTAGAGGAGCTCTGCAGATTCACACTTAGAGGAGCTCTGCAGATTCACTTTTTGCCGGCTTGGAATTAATCTTATTTTCATCCTACTTCTTTTTCTTCTTCTTCTCCTCATCCTCATCCTCAGAAGAAGAAGAAGAGGATGAGGATGAAGAAGAAGAAGAAGAAGTAGGATGAAAATAAGAATAATTCCAAGCCGGCAAAAAGTGTATCTGCAGAGCTCCTCTAAGTGTATCTGCAGAATCCTCCATACAGCTTCATCCTTCTTCTCATCCTTCTTCCTTCTTCTCATCCTTCTTCTCATCCTTCTTCTCATCCTTCTTCTCATCCTTCTCATCCTTCTTCTTCTCATCCTTCTTCTCATCCTTCTCCTTCTCTTCCTTCTTCTCATCTTCTCCTTCTTCTCATCCTTCTCCTTCTCCTTCTTCTCATCCTTCTCCTTCTTCTTCTTCTCCTTCTCCTTCTCCTTCTCCCTTCTTCTCTCCTTCTCCTTCTTCTCATCCTTCTTCTCATCTTCTTTCATCCTTCTTCTCATCCTTCTTCCTTCTTCTCATCCTTCTCCTTCTTCTCATCCTTCTCCTTCTTCTTCTCATCCTTCTCCTTCTTCTTCTCATCCTTCTCCTTCTTCTCATCCTTCTCCTTCTCCTTCATCCTCATCCTTCTCCTTCTTCTCATCCTTCTTTCTCATCCTTCTCCTTCTTCTCATCCTTCTTCCTCATCCTTCTTCTCATCCTTCTCCTTCTTCTCATCCTTCTCCTTCTTCTCATCCTTCTCCTTCTTCTCATCCTTCTCCTTCTTCTCATCCTTCTCCTTCTTCTCATCCTTCTCCTTCTCCTTCTCCTTCTTCTCATCCTTCTCCTTCTTCTCATCCTTCTCCTTCTTCTCATCCTTCTCCTTCTCCTTCTTCTTCTCCTTCTCCTTCTCCTTCTTCTCATCCTTCTCCTTCTTCTCATCCTTCTCCTTCTTTCTCATCCTTCTCCTTCTTCTCATCTTCTTCTCTTCTCCTTCTCCTTCTTTCCTTTTCCTTCTCATCTCCAAGGGCATTTAAATTAAAGGTACAGTGTTCTGCACTAATTTAAAGGCTCTCTGAAGCCTAGAAACCCTTTTTATAAGTTAACTTCGTAGCGAATAAATTTGCATCGAATCGAATTTCTTCCTGAAATTCGCCGAATCAGCCGAATCGAATTTTTGAATAATTCGCTCATCTCTAATATATACACACACATACATACTGTATGTTGAAAAGTGTTTTTATTACAAAATCTATGAAAAAACAAAATCTATGAAAAATATTTTTTAAAAATACATTTTCAAATATACTGTATGTCTTTAAAAATACAAATCTACATTTTTGGAATTCATTTACAAATATATGTAAAAATATATATTAAAATGACTTTTTTATATGTTAAAAAAATCTGAAGAATATATTTAAAAAAATATATTATTAAAAACATATTTTTCAAATATATTCCTCAGATTTTTTTTAACATATAAAAAAGTCATTTTGACATATATTTTTACATATATTTGTAAATGAATTCCAAAAATGTAGATTTGTATTTTTAAAGACATACAGTACATTTGCAATGTATTTTTAAAAATATTTTCCATGGATTTTGTAATAAAAACACATTTCAACATGCAGTATGTATGTGTGTATATATATATATATTTATTGAAATATATTGAATATGGCCAAAATTGTAATATTTCAAATATATGTCAATATATTTGGGAAGAATATTTTTAAAATATATTTTTCTTCCATATGGGGAGTCCTTCACATCCTTGGATTCAGTATGGAACTCTGTGCGGACATCAACCATAAAAAGAGACAATTATCGTAAGGACTTAATAAAGTGACGTTTTATTTCTGATGCCCTGCCAGGAAAATCATGTGTCTCGACACCACTGACTTAGATTGCGTGTTTATTGCTCGCGGTTTTATTGCGTTCACGTCTGGACCACTTACTGGTTCTGATCATTTTTTCACGAGTGCCCTCAGCCCCCTCCTTCATAAAATAACGTATTTATTTCCAAATGCAGGTCTGTCTGGCCGCAAGTATAACACAATTAATGCAGCACAGATGCCAGTCGCTCACTTCTGCTGCTGGTGAACGCTGTCTATCTGCAGCAGAGGGGCTAACAGCCCTCAATAAAAAATAAGTGGTCATTTTCCTGTCCCGCGAGGACACTTATTACCACGAAATGTATCAGTAGATTGCCGGTAATAGGGCCCAACCCCCACCCCTCTCCCATCCCTGGCTTGCACACGCAGCAAAGAGTAAGAAGCGGCAAGATATACAGGCTTGTGGATGACAGCAATGGATGCTAAAGCGGAACTCCGGGCTCAAAACCTTCCTTTCAATATATTCCTCAATAGCCATAAAGGATATAAATCCACTTGGTATCTTTACAAGCACAGATATTGCCCTGTAATAGTAGCAGTGATAGCATTCCTGTGCTGTACAAGGCCTGTGAAAATAGCTGAGCAGTGGGAGGGGCTCAGCAGCTCCACCTACTACAGGCTGCCTGCAGAAAACTATAGGAGGGGGCGGAGACAAGACCAGTCACCCTGCACAAGGAGAAAGAGCAGCAGTGGGCAGTCTTTATTACAGGAAGCTTCTGCACAGATCTGGAAGAAATACACAAAGCACACCAAGATTCAAGAAGTACAATGACTCTTGTACAGTATCTAGACCAGTGGCCCCCAAACTGCAATCTGGGGGCCAGATGTGGCCATTTGCTTGCCTTTATCCGGTCTTTGGGGCACTATTCATCCCAATGATGGGGCACATTTCCTTCCCTTACATCAATGATGAGGCACCATTCTTCCCAATCACACACATAATGGGGCACTTTTCCTCCTACTGACACCAATGATGGGGCACTATTCTTCCAATTGACACCAATGATTTGGCACTATTGCTCCCACTGACACGAACAGTAGGGCACTATTTCTTTGTTAACAGCAATGATGGGGCACTTTTCCTCCCACTGACATCAATGATGGGGCACTTTTCCTCCCACTGACACCAATGATGGGGCACTATTCCTCCCACTGATACCAATGATGGGGCACTATTCCTCCCACTGATACCAATGATGGGGCACTATTCCTCCCACTGATACCAATGATGGGGCACTATTCCTCCCACTGATACCAATGATGGGACACTATTCCTCCACTGATACCAATGATGGAGCACTATTCCTCCCACTGATACCAATGATGGGGCACTATTCCTCCCACTGATACCAATGATGGGGCACTATTCCTACCACTGATACCAATGATGGGGCACTATTCCTTCCACTGATACCAATGATGGGGCACTATTCCTCCCACTGATACCAATGATGGGACACTATTCCTCCTACTGATACCAATGATGGAGCACTATTCCTCCCACTGACACCAATGATGGGGCACTATTCCTCCCACTGACACCAATGATGGGGCACTATTCCTCCCACTGACACCAATGATGGGGCACTATTCCTCCCACTGATACCAATGATGGGGCACTATTCCACCCACTGATACCAATGATGGGGCACTATTCCTCCCACTGATACCAATGATGGGGCACTATTCCTCCCACTGATACCAATGATGGAGCACTATTCCTCCCACTGATACCAATGATGGGACACTATTCCTCCCACTGATACCAATGATGGGGCACTATTCCTCCCACTGATACCAATGATGGGGCACTATTCCTCCACTGATACCAATGATGGGGCACTATTCCTCCCACTGATACCAATGATGGGGAACTATTCCTCCCACTGACACCAATGATGGGGCACTATTCCTCCCACTGATACCAATGATGGGACACTATTCCTCCCACTGATACCAATGATGGGGCACTATTCCTCCCACTGATACCAATGATGGGGCACTATTCCTCCACTGATACCAATGATGGGGCACTATTCCTTCCACTGATACCAATGATGGGGAACTATTCCTCCCACTGACACCAATGATGG